TCCACACCACAGACACATTTATCTTCAGGTCAACACCAGCAGCACACTCACTCTGACGCTTCACCTTCAGGTGTAGCGGAAGTTTCGTCACACTTCCCTGTCTTGCGAGATAAATGGTGCCACAGGTCACACACCCTCCAGGTCACCACGTTGTGGTCACCTTCCGCCATGTCCGTGGGTTTCATTCATTCATTCATTTACCAAAAGCGTGAAAACGTTTGTAAAACCACAGCTTTCTGCGGCCCACGCTACGTCACACACACACACACACACACACACACACCTGAGTACGTATCGATGTTAGATGAGAGAACCGGCAGGTTAAGGCAAACAGGAAGAAATTAAAAGAACGAAGAAAGAAATGAACAGTCTGAGTTTTGTTCTACAGAGTTAGAGAAGATAAATAAACTGCAGTCTTAAGTCTTTAAACACTGAAAACCATTAATATTAATACTTGAAACTTAAGAGTTTGGTTCAAAGCAGTACACTGTTAACCTCAATCATGAAAAAGAACTGCAGACACACAAACTCGCTGTATCTGAACTTTTACTTCCCAGTGTAACTGCATGATGGCTCCAGAGCCTCTTAAAGGCTTCATTTATGACGTCATCAGAACCTAACCGGGCCTCTAAGGCTCCGGACTCTAGTGTTCACACCAGAACTTCAGTACCATCAGCGTTCAGCACCACGGTCTTACCTGGAGCTGCTGCCGAGAACCATTTGCGGTCTGTCCGGTTCCGTTGTGCCGTCACCGCGCTGTGCCCTGGTCCTGGTTCCGGGTCTCTGTCCTAGATCTCTGAGGATTCTGCAGCAGCAGCAGCCCTCTGCTCGGGCGCTAACTCTCGGCTCACACTAAAACCGGTGAGCCGCTTTTCTTCTTCTCGTGCCTTCAAACGGCCACGCCGCTTTCACGTGGACACGCGTCCACAGCCAATCAGAGAGTGCACTGACGGAGTGGTCGGCGGCGTGGCGCCCTGCTGTCAGAGCCGTCTCTCCGTGTGAAGATTGACAGAAAGCCGTAATTATTTATCGAGTTATTTATCGTGGTTCGTAGGGCCCAGTTTAGCGCCTCGTGCTGTTTTAGTAAATTAAATGTAGATTAAATAAAACATCATCCGCTTACTACCTGGAAGCATGAATATTAACCCTGTAAAGGTAAAACTTCACAAAAATACCTGGAATAAATAAATACATTAAAAATATATTAATTTGCATGTATATTTTATAATTTATATCATATTTGCTACATCCGACATTGTTTTCCAATTTATTTATCTCTTTATGTGAAACTTATTTATTATTATTATTATTATTATTATTATTATTATTACTACCTATTTTTCGGGAGGAATTAAACTTATGACGTAGAACTCTAAAAAACTCAAACTGGATTAAATATGATGCAGCTGTTTTACAGAGTTCAGGCTCATATTTTTGTGATTTTAACAGTTTTCTCTTAAGGCCTGTGAAGTAGTTCTACTTAAAACTTTAGTTTAAACTCTTAAGTTTTCAATATGTGCATGTTTGTTTTTCAGATTTTCTTTGGTGTAAAATTTAAAAAGGAGCAATAAAATTTGTATATTTATGTGAGAAGAAACTAAAGTGAGACGCAAAACCTGCTTACAAAAAAGAGGAAAGACTCAAGTCTTCACTGGGCCAAAACACGTGTGAACATGTATAACATTTCATGTCATTTAGATTCTGTATATATATCTTTGTTTTGTTTTAACCTGACCACATACATGAGTGCATGTACACATACACACACACATATATATTTGTATTTCTACATGTAAATGCAAGAATACATATCTTTATATATTGGCTTGTTGTATATATCTGAAATAAAGAATAAAAAAAATAAAGAATAAAAATAATAATAACATCTGTAAGAGACAGCTGGAGACATGTAACAGCAAACTGTGTCTGCAATGTCTGTGGGTCTCTTTGCCTCTGTTTGCATCTGTGGGTTTAGGATGAGTGGCGGTCTTGGGGTCATTGCTGCAGCACTTGTGGGCTGCATGTGCAGCTGGACCTTTACACCCATCACAGACACACTGAATGTTTTTTCTGTAATTCTTCTAAAAACATGAACACACACGTGACATTTTCATATTGATTTTCTTTTAACATGAGCTCACTTTGTGTCCGTGTAACAGTGCTTTGTGTTTTGTAGGAAACCACGACCTCCCGATGCTGAACAGCTGACAGCTTTGTAAATAGCAGCTCTGATTCGGGAATCGATCCCAGGTTAGAGAACAGGCTGTGTTATTTTGGTGCTTCACCTTAGCACATGAAGCACAGCTGGAACACACACAGGCACAGGTTACACCTCAGTGCTGTCAGTGAGGTGCGTGGAGTTTGCATTGGTGGTGTGATTAAACAGGAGATCTGAAAACATCACCACATCCGCTCTGAGATTATAATCTTTACTTATTGTTAATTTTTTTTTAATCTAAACAGCTGATTGATTATCTGAGAAGACAGTTCCTGGTGAAGTTTATGACTTTACAAAACCGTCCCTTTCACTCTCTCACAAATCACCCTGACCCTTGTCTCCACCCACTCCACCCTGCCTCCACTCTCAGACACCACCTGTTGTTTTGAATGGTTGACCCCATCTATTTAAACTCCTCCACCTTCCCTTGCTCTGCTCTTGCAGCTTTAGTGAGGATCTTCACGTATTTAAAGGTTTTAAATATTAACTATTATCACTTTTGGCATCTTTGACTGTAAATTTCTTTGTTTTTATAAACTAAACCTTTTGTGTTTTTGTTGTTGTTGTTGATAAAGTTATCTGATTATTATTATTAAATTAATTCCATCAGAAGAAGATATTAAAATAGCAAATATATTAATACTACTACTGTTGACATTTCGTGTTTATACTTTTAATTCACACTTTTTTGGTCTTTATGTTATAATATAAAGCATATTGACTGAACGTTGTTGTGAATTAGGGCAATATAAATAACACTGAATTAAACTGAATTAATGCCTGTTTTATTTATTAACTCTGATAAATAATCTTCATATTCTAATAATCACAAAGACCAAAATTAGTAAAAAAAAATTGAATTAAACCCTTCATGTTAAAAAAAAAACTTAATTGAGCAAATACAGGAAAATGAAACTGAACCTAAACTACATTTAACACCGAAAGTAAAGTGCTCAAAAAATCAGGATCAGCCTTAAACTCTCCCCTCTGTACACGTTAACCTAAAACACCTGAAGCATGAGATTAAACTCTTATAGATTTCTGAGGTGTCTGCAGCGTGGCTCTGAATGATGTCCGCAGCTGAAAAATGAACTTTATTAATTCTGTTCTTTATGCATCTTTGCAAACATCACATAAAGCACAAATACAGTCTTTGCAGAGCACCTCAGACAGCAGCAGGACGTCCCTGCAGAGATACTTTGTGTTCCAGCAGCTGCAGCATGAAATGATGTCAGCATGAATGGTGGCCTTCCAGCCTCGTTAGGAAACAACCTGCTGCTGTTCTGGCACAGTATCATGTAAATAATTGTTCAGAACTCAACCTACTGAACGCTGGGGTTCAAGAGCAGAAAGAGAAGCTCTCTGCTCTCTGATAAGGACCCTGAACGCAGCACCACATGACCTGAAAATAGACCGAGCTGTGCTGTGACAAAGGTGAAATGTTAATCACGGCAGTCGATCACAGCTGAACACGCTGTGTTCTAAGGCTTCTAACTCTCTGTGGATTCAGTCAGAAGCTGATGAAAATGAAATGGAGTTTACTGTTCAGGGAATAAATTATAAAACATACAGAAATCCATCATCTGCTTCCCAATCACTTCCAGTTTAGAGTCGGTTTGTGCTGGACATGTGTGTGTGTTGGGGGGAGGGGTCTTTTATCAGCACTATATGAGCTGGAATAATAAGAGTAATTATTCTCGGTGTGGAAGAATTTAAATGAAGTCAGAAACAGAGCAAAAGAGGACAACATCTGCTGTGAATAGACATAAATATTAAAGTGACTAAACACAAAAATTTGATTGTGTTCACATGATTTTGACTAATAGTGCAAATTTGTTTACTGCATGTAATATTTAAACATTTATGTGCGATGTCATGTTAAGTTATAGCAGTTTGTTTCTGTGATCTCAACTGGTCAGAAGAGATTTTGTTGGCAGTGATCCTGAAAAAAAAATGAGTATTGTCCCTGTGCAACTTGTATGTACAGTATATATATA